CACCAGTTTAAGTTGTTTACTATTGAGTATTAATTGCGTTTCTGTTTTTAGCGAAAGTTTATTGGTCCATAGTCGAATAACGAAAAAGTGTTTAAAACAATATATAGCTGTATAGTTTTGTTTTAAAATTTTACTCTATACATCTATACAGTTATACACTTTTTTCAACTACACATGTACCATGAATGTCTAGTTTATAAAACATTTGTTTGCCTATGCTACGATACATTTTTATCAAAACCCTTCTTTGTAACTTTTTAATTATTCATTGTCAATTCTTTTAAACATAAAAATCTATTTTATTTCATAGCACACATTTTCTGTCTGTACATTTTCTAAAACGTTTGTCTAAGTAATTTACAATTGACATTTCAAGCTAATTATTAGCATATATTAGACAGCAATTTGTTAAATTTAAATCTCAGTTGATTTTTTTATTATTATTATTGTAAAGTGCGTATATGAGTTGATAGCATTAATTATATATTTACATATGAATAAAATGACAATAATTTGCAATCTTAGTTGAAATTCTTTTTTTTTGTTTAATTGTTAGAATTTTTGTTGCATGTTACACTATTTAATTGTTGATCAAATTCATGACATTTTTGTTGAATTTTCATTTACTAATGCATTAAACCTCTTCTCATTTATTATTTGTGTTATTATTCTACTTTTAAAAGTTTATTTTGAGGACTCGGTACTTATTGTGAAGTTGTTACATTGTCAAATTATCTGTAACATTAACGTCTTGTTTCTGATGTTACTTTTTAACATTTGTTTTTATTAACGAAGAGGATATAAATATTCAGACCGAAATGTTTATTACTACTCCAAATGTACACAGTCTAATGGCTAATTTATTGTTATTATATTAGATTTATTAGACATTTTACACTTCGTACGTCCTAGTTACGCCCATGATATATCAACCAATCGATGAGTAGTTCTTTATAACGTAATATACAGAAAATCTTTACATAAACCCTGACGTCCTTACATTACTTTGCTGATTTTTATTCGAGTATCTTTTCTTATTGAATTTGTATGATACGGTACATGTCAGATTGAAGCCAAACACATAAGTGAATTTCAAATAATTATGTCTCTATCATCTGTGAATATAGCATTATATTATATTTGAAGAGGATGTATAAAAGTCTATCCCGTAATTCGCTGAACGAAATATTTAAATAATAATATTGTATTATTTTCTAAATGCCTGGTGCATTAAAATTGCTACCGCCGTAAATGTTATTATGTCCAATTTTTTCCAAGTAATATTTGTTTTATCTGATTTATTCCAATTAGTCATAACTCTCTCTCTCGTTCTTTACCTCTCTCTCTCTCTCTCTCTCTCTCTCTCTCTCTCTCTCTCGTTTTATAACACAAATAGGATACAAAAAATAACAAATGCCACTCAAGGTAGAAGTTATAAGAACATACACAAACTCATCTAAAAAACATACTCTTTAAAATACAATACTCTAAACACATTACAGAAATCAACTCGAAACCGTATAAATAATGTGCGGACTTCTAAAAAGATTTCAACAATCTGATCAATATTTGTTATTTAACCTTATTGTCAACTTAATTTTACAATTAAACGAGTATAGTTCTTTGAATTTGTAATGAACTTTCTAATATTTCACGAAAATATACATTTATAGCGTAGAATTCTTAAAATAACGTTTCATGTATGTATGACCAGGTTATTGGTCACCTCTGTCATATTAATTAGTTTCGGGTTAAAGTAGCGGTATCTTAAATAAAGTCCAAGTCGCTGGAAAGATTACATATTTATTTCGCATCCATATATTTCAATCATTAAAACATAACTGAATAAAAACATAAAAACAAATATAAAATACAAATTATAAGACTGATTGACATGCGGGAAAAGAACCAATCAAAATATCTTGTTATCAAATAATACAAATTCGCGTTTTGCCGAAAGCGTGGATTACGGATTAAAAACATGTTTCGTATAAGGTTGTCAAGAATGACTTTCGGCAGTTATCACTTAGTGTCAATTCATCTATATTCTTTGTTACACAATCTGTTATCATACAGACGGATATAAATCATTGATAATTAATTTAAATGAAAGGATTATGGTTAAGTATAAAATACAAGTAACTTTTGAATAGTGTAACATACATTACACCCCAGTTCTTTTGTTATACTTCACAGTTTTAATGTATAATTTACATAAAAGTTCTTTTTATGTATGTTTATTAATATATTTTTTTCGCTATTGGAATTTCCTGAAACAACTTGTAGTGAACACTCGTCTATTCGTAATCTCTTATGTTCATGCTATTAAAAAAACCAATTCATATTGTTATGAATAAAAGGGGGTGCCAACGCAGGATAAAAAAACCAATTCATATTGTTATGAATAAAAGGGGGTGCCAACGCAGGATAAAAAAAAGGGGGGGGGGGGTTCCAGCCATATGTCCCCATTCAAAAGAAATGATCGTAAAAAAGGGGGATTCCAACGCTCGGAAACCTCCCCCGCCCCCTTTGGAGTGCCCCCAAAACGGGGGGTTCCTACATATGCAATCTGTATTTTTGTATGTTTGTAGTTTCTATTTCTGAAACAAGTGTAAATTGACTAGATCTATTGTTACGAATAACAATGGATTTTGACCACAGGGTGTGACGAGCGGGGTTTCTGGAAACCCATACTTCTACATCCCGAAAACACAGTCCATTGTTATTCATAACAATATGAATTGGTTTTTTTAATAGCATGAACATAAGAGATTACGAATAGACGAGTGTTCACTACAAGTTGTTTCAGGAAATTCCAATAGCGAAAAAAATCTTTAGCATCTATTTTGAATAAAAAAAAATCATTTAAATACTCCTTAGCTTGAAGCTACAATTTTAATCCCATATGGCAATGTCTTAAAAAACATACATAAAAAGAACTTTAATGTAAATTATACATTAAAACATATAGGGTACATTTGGACTAAAACTTAATCATAAGAATAAATTTATTAATGTTTGGATTGTTGAAGATAATGATGGCACCAAGGGGCGGATCCAGCCATTTTTAAAAAGGGGTGCCAACGCAGGATAAAAAAAAGGGGGGGGGGGGGGGGGGGGGGGGGTTCCAGCCATATGTCCCCATTCAAAAGAAATGATCGTAAAAAAAGGGGGATTCAAACGCTCGGAAACCTCCCCCGCCCCCTTTGGAGTGCCCCCAAAACGGGGGGTTCCTACATATGCAATCTGTATTTTTGTATGTTAAGCGTGTCCGGTCGTCCAGTTTCTAATCCAGACACACCTATTCCTCAGTATGTTCGAAATGAATGTTTGTTTGTTTAATGTTGAGAAGAGGTTGGGGGGGGGGGGGCTTTTTTTTTATAAAACCGTAATTTACATGTAAAATAAATTGATGATTACCTTTATGGGTTATAAATATTGCGTTATCTTTAGACTCTTCTGCCAAATCCAACGCCCGACTCAAAATGTCGTCTGTCTCATACCCGTCCATATTGACAACTGCATACAGGAGCATGATGTATTTTTATTTGTATTTAGAATGCACGATATGGCCTACCTTGACCTGCTGATCCATATTAGCACATGGATTTAACGGGAATATGCAAAACGGCAACTTTGACATTTGTAAAATCTACTCACTTGTCAAAGTTCGAATGAAGACCGTCAAAGTAAGGTTACTAGTGGGGTTTCATTGAAACACAAAATTCTTATTAATCATGGTTTGATATTGTCAAAAAATGCTATTCCTTCTTTTTCATTTAATATTTAATGTAAACAAATATAGGGTTTAACATCGGGTGTAAGTTAGTCTTACACTTCGGGATAAGGTGTGTCTGGATAAGAAACACCTCCGTCCTCCGGCCGTCGGGGTTTCTTATCCAGACACACCTATCCCTCAGTGTATAACTATTACATGAACTATTGAATTATTAAAAACCAATGACGACTCGGAATGATAATAAAAAACATGAATTATAAAAATACACAAAATCCTAAATGTGAACTTTGAACGAACAATTTTCGGGTCATATATGTTCTACTTCACATTTTCTCTTGTGATCGATATTTAATTGTAATACAATGATTTCTTGCCAATATTTTGATATGCCCCGGTAGTTTTTCTTTGGTCCTTAGTTTTTCTTTCCATTCTGAAAATTCTAATTTTTTATATTATTTTAGAATCTTCTTACTTTCTTAATTTTACTATTCGTTGTAGATGTGATCATGACATTTTTCTAGCATAAGTATTCTGAGATTGACTATAATGATAAAATGTAATCTATTTCGTTTTGTGTCACGTTCTCGGAGATGTACTTATATGTTTGACCGAATAAAGAATAATATGCAGTAATTTAACCTTATTAAGTGGCACTTTATTATTTTTATAAAACTCAACAAACCTCTTATGTAATACACACGAAGTTTATTGTTTTAAGGTTTCATGTTTGAGGTACCTAAGTATTAATTTATTACTAGAGCAATTTATTTCGAGATGATCTTGTTATCGCAAGTTATCAATTATCATAGACAGAATAGTGGCTTCTTAATTCCCACTATTAATTGTGGTATTATTGGGATCCAATGCATAGATATTTTTTCTTCAGAAAAATCGCACACAGGTAAACAATTAATACTGTCCTAAATTCAAGATATGATTTTATTATTGATGTTAACCGCAACAAATGGTTTGTTACCCTAGTGACATTTATGTTATTATATGGAATGACAAAATACATGAATGGCATTAAGTTATCAACTACATAAACTAAAACAAGGTATTGTGTGAAATACGTCATAGAATACATTATAAATAGCTATGACAAAAATGTGTATTGTGTGAAAATACGTCATAGAATACATTATAAATAGCTATGACAAAAATGTGTGTTGTTTGACATATTTTCTCATTTTTACTATTTCCTTGTGAAAATTACTATATATACTAAGCTAATTTCCCCAGATCTAAGCAAAACTTGCAAACAAGTCTCAACACCAGTCAAATTCAAGGTAACTGTTTATCCATGAGTAGAAACCAGTAGTCAATACATTTTTTGTTTTTTTAATTTCTATAACATTTTGCATCGCTAAACTATAGTATGTCAAGTTCTTATAAAGGAAAAAGTAAAATAACAAAAATACTGAACTCCGAGGAAAATTCAAAACGGAAAGTCCGTAATCAAATGGCAAAATGAAAAGCTCAAACACATCAAACGAATGGATAACAACTGTCATATTCCTGACTTATGTAGAAAATGGTGGATTTAATCTGGTTTTATAGCTAGCTAAACCTCTCACTTGTATGGCAGTCGCATAAAATTTTATTATATTGCAGACATAATAGGTAAAATGTCAAATATATGGGTACATCAGTCAACATTGTGTTATAATCTTAATCACTATAAAAACAAACAAATATATAACAGAGAAACACAAAAGGGCATATAGACAAAGCACATTAGCAAAAATGAAAGACAAAGAATACAAAAATTTACTATAGTACAATAACACAATGATAGGATGTATAAGTACAGAGCCACGTCAAATGGATATCACCAAAAATAGACTAAACAGTAAAAGTAATATTCATAAAGACAAATAAAAGAATACTGTTACACGTTATTAAGATGATAAACAACATCAGTACCTGGAATCTATACTTCAAGACCATCATGTACTATTTGTGAAGTCGATACGGAATATTTATCAACAAGGTCTTGGTATCTTCCGATGAACTTTTTTAGAAAAAGGACGAGACGTTCTTTGACATACCCTTGGTTTAGCAACTTTCTACTCAAACACTGGTGACGTTTTACAAAGTCTGAGTAGCAGCTGCGAGCTCTTAAATACCGAATAAGTTGGGAAATATATATCCCATATGCAGGTGAAGTTGGTATATTGCTACTAAGGTGGGGGAAATTGCTAATTTCAAAATTAAAATCGTCTCGTTTGTCATAGATTCTGGTACTGAGATGACCACGTATGTCAAATTCGAGGTATAAATCTAAAAATGAGGCGGAGGAAGCTGTGTCTGTTGTTTCTTTAATTTCTAGTTCTGGGGGATATATTAAAGGAACCCAATTAGAAAAGTTTGGATTGTTAATGGAAAGAACATCATCAATATATCTGAATGTGAAATTAAATGGTCTGGCTACTTTGATCTTCTTATTTTTGACAAGTGTCTGAAGGAACTCCGACTCATATGAAAATAAGAAGAGGTCGGCAAGGAGAGGCCATATGGAATGTCGACAATTTGTTGAAAAAGTCTACCTTCAAATTCAACAAATATGTTGTCTATAAGAAACACCAGCATACTGATCACTTGTTCCTCTGTGTAGCATGATTTACCTTTTTGTTCGCTATTAACAAAATATGCCGTATGGTATCCCAAAGTAATAAATTTATAGCGTATGCTACCATTTGTATGATGAAAAGCATTATGGATTATTTCTTTTAGACGATTTTTTAATTTCACATGGGGAAAGACCATTTTTTATTATGTCATTTACGAAAAGTCGCTAATTAAGCTGTTAATTATCATAAAAAATTTATAAACAAATACGATTTCTTTTATAGGCAAAATCATGAATACCCAAGCATTGGTTGTTGTCATTGTTGTTATGGTAACAGTGGCATGTGGATTAGATTACCATAGCTACAATAACTACAACAACTATCCATCAACATACGGTAACTCATGGGACTTACTTAGGTCAGCAGGCGGACGTCTTAGAGGTGGATGGAACTCAGGACATGGACTAAGTCACAGGAGATACAGTAAGTGACCTTCTGTCTTAAGGACTTTGAACATATTGTAAGTTATATATATATCACGCCTTTTATGAATTAACGTATTTAATTCACGAAAAGTGTAGCTTTGAGTGGATTAAAAATGTTAATGAGTAAGGCGTGGCTATATGTTATATGATTTGTAACATTGATTAATTGATTGATTGGTGTTTAACACCACTTTCAACACTATTGTGCTATTTCGTGGCGATCAGTTTTTATTGGTGGAGGAAGCCGGAGTGCCCTGAAAAAACCACCGACCTTCGGTAGGAAAACTGACAATCCTAGTCAATTAAGATTGGAGTCGAGTGCACCTGCCCCGAGCGGAATTCGAACTCACAACCTCAGTGTTTACTGGCTAGTGGTACAGTAGTTGGACTACTTAGACCACTCGGCCACCGAGGCCCCTTTGTAACATTGATGAACTATGATACATGTCAAAGGTTAAATGCTGACCAATAAAACTTTACTGTACTTTTTAACATATATATATATATATATGTCAATCAAATAGTGGCGTGATACTATCTGATTTCCAGAAAATTAACACATGCAGCAGATGTCTGTTGGATTTGTATTTCAGATACAGGTACATGTATAAGAATTGTTGCCGTGGGATTTTGACTCGATCTGATCTATATGTTATTGGATAGTTTTTTCCTCCCCGAAAATTCTTGAGGGAGAAAAGAGGGGGTCTAGATGCAAAATTTTTTTTATATGATGTTTATCTGCCTTCAAACGGGGCCGAAAAGGACCTGTAGTTTCAAAGGAGTTTTAACGTTGTGATAAAAAGGAAAAGTTTTCTAATACCAATTATGAAGGTAATTAATACTATCCTTCCATTCCCAATAACTGGAAAAAGATCGGTTCATTGATTGCATTGGTTGTTGATTGCGTGTTAGGTCTAGGGACAAATATTTGATGGAGATAGACCTTTATAAAATAGAGAAAATTAATAAACATCTAGTGACATATATTTTTCAGAATATTATTAATTTTGACTCGATATAAGCAGGTATCCAACTAAAGAAACAGTATGAAAATGTATAGTCATTTCTATTACATTTTGTTTTATTCTTTCATTATTTACTTCTCGAAAGAGGCGGAGCCAGACTATGCATTAACAACTTCTGAGATGGAAGTTAGAGCACTGGTTTAAGCTCCTCTCGTTCTTTGCTATTCCAAAGAGAAGCGGTAAATGCCAAGATTGGAGAGTACAATAACTAAAAAATCATTCAGTTAACGCACCACTCTAAAAATAACAGAAGTTAACTAACTTGAAGATCAAAGGAAAAAATACCATTCATGTTACAATATCCCGTATCAACAATATTCACAAAATGTTGAAAAAATAAATAAAATAGGATCAAAATTATTTAGAATTTTTATTAAATATTAAAATTCCAAATACACAATATTTATTTTGGTTACTTTTATTTCAATTTTTTTTGTATCCTGATATTTACATAGTATTCTCAGCATACCCTTTTTATGTCATAACATTTGAGATAAGTTAAAGGTTTAGAGTTCTTGGTCATAATAAAACATTTGTTCTTCCAGGACGTGCAGCATTAGGGTACAACATGCATAATTCTTACCATAGTAACAATTGGGGCAGAACAAATCAAAGATTGGGAAGATTTGATGGATGGAGACGTCATAACTCTGGCTATAGCACATGGAATGGTAAGTAATAGTATTACCTTTACTGATATATTAAAAATCATGCAGCACAAAATGTAAGGGTTTCACTTATCAGCAGACAAGTAATTAACAATTAACTAGTCGCTCAAGTTAGGCTTTACACTGTTTAGTACATAAAATACATGAATAACATATAAAATAAAATTGAATAGCATAGAATAAACTGAATTATTAATTCATTCCTTGATAATATGCATGAAGATATTTTCATTTAAAGATAACGTTTGTTTTGTTATCAAATGAAGACGATACTGTATGTTTATTTTGTAACAACTCCTTTACAACGATAAATTGGGTACAGTATGTTGACAACTTGTTGTCAATTGTTTTTTTTTTTTTTTTTTTTTTTTTTTTTTTTTTTGCATCGATGTGCTGCACTCCTCAGGGGCGGATTTAGGCGGGGCGTGGCGGGCTTGCGTCCCCCCCTAAAATTTGCAAAGCATGGGTTGTCCTCAGCTTAATAAAGAATATTTCGATAATTTTACCTCAAACAAATTTTCGCCTGGCTCCGCTCGCCGAAAATTTAAGTTTGCGCCTCCACTAACCTAAAATCCTGGATCCGCCCCTGCTCCTATTGGATAAAACCATGGAAGTGCAAAGGTTACAGAGAAGTTAAAAACATGCGTACAAAATATTATACATACTCCATATTGCATCGTGCATCGGGTTCATAGCTAGTTTAATTGTTTACATTTAACATAATAATGCAGTTAATTCGGTTTGGTAAAATCTATTAAAATCCATTCAATGTTTCATTTTTTATATGACACGAGAGACACTAGGCACACCATGTAAATTAGCAGGTTGATTAGTTCGAATGTCATATACGCAAATATTATGTAATATAATATCCAAAGAACGAGTGACAAGTATTTTCTGTACCCTTGGGCTCTAAACGTCTGTTTCCTGAGTTGAGATAAAAAAAAAAAACGTATAAACATATATATAATACCTCAAATTAAAAAGAAATCCCTATACAGTGTTTTTTTTTTCAGTCTAGTAACATAAAGAAAACGTAAAAGTGACACTTTGAATAAAAATTATAAAGAAAACGTCAAAGTGACACTATAATAAAAACCATCGTCGGGAAGATAAGATTTTCTGTTTTTAGCTGCAATGTAAAAACGCCATATTTTGACGGTTGTAGAAAAGATGATAACCAATTTTCACATAAATATGTTATCATAGATAATATGCATTTAATATATAGTTGCCGGCGGTCGACGTTGATCGAGGATTAAAAAGTTAAATATGATTTATAAGTGCAAAGCTTGGTTTAATCTGTGACTTTCCTCTTGTTGATGAATTAAATATGGAAAATATTAAAGCTGCATTCTACATACATGACATATATCTTTCAAAAAATTCTATTCATTTGAGTTAGACTGCTTTAATCGCTCACAATATTTTCATCTAAATTCTATGTTCAATGAATAAATACTGCTTACAAACGTATGGTAGAGAGATTTACAGACTAGAATGAATATCTGTTGTTGTTAAAGCCGATTTATTATACACTGTCCATACAAACTACACTGAATTCCATTATGAAAAAAAAATAATTGTTAAACTGTATTTTATTTGTACATCATTCAAAACTATAAGTTTAATTGATTAAAACATGCGTGCTGTTCTCTTATGTGTAGATATTATATGGTTTTTTCCAGGCTACTAAAGAGAAAGACAGACAGACATTATTTAAAATATCCAGAAGAGTGCAATATTAACGCTGGTTGACCATATATTTATTGTTTGAACAACAGTTTTATTACTTTAATTTGTATTAATTGTGTTACACTATGTTAGATAAAATAAAAATATAGAAAACAAATATTTATAATTTGCTAAATAGCATAGATAAGCTGGATATATTGTACTGACAATTGTCTATTGTGGAGGTCTTGTTTTGTCCTTTTTAAGTTTTTAGTCTTTTGGTTGCAGTCGTTGACTTTAACCGTACATTTAATTTTATTATTAGATAGATATAAGAAGATGTGGTATGAGTGCCAATGAGACAACTCTCCATCCAAGTCAAAATTTATAAAAGTAAACCATTATAGGTCAAAGTACGGTCTTCAACACGGAACCTTGGCTCATACCGAACAGCAAGCTATAAAGGGTCCCAAAAATTACTAGTGTAAAACCATTCAAACGGGAAAACCAACGGTCTAATCTATATAAAAAACGAGAAACGAGAAACACTTATGAACCACATCAACAAACGACAACTACTGAACATCAGATTCCTGACTTACTAGGACACGGAAAGTTTCACAAAGAAAGAATTGAGATCGTCACGTGACTTTTTGATATGGATGTTGTTGGGGGTTTTTTTTCGTTCTTCGGAAGTAAAGCGTAAAATAAGTTTATGATAATATAGAAACTGAATCATCATTTACACAGGTGACTGGACGTTTAGCAAACAACAAGCAATAATGAATTCACTATTGTACTATTTAGAAATCGTCGTTGCTATATGAAAATAATAACTTTATAAGTCCGTGCGTTTGAAGCGCTTTCCTGGATTTACCATCATCAGGAACGTTGAAACATATGAAAGCCAAGTATGTATAAAACATAAACACGTTAAGATCTATATAACCAAAAAGGTCCATAAAAACGGTCTGAATATAATTTATCAATAATATTTAAAAAAAAAAAAGAAATATTTATTGGTTTAAACAAATAGATAAGACATCACAGCTAACGGTGTTTGCAACCACATCGTACCACGAGGAAAACACACGAAAACGGACAACTAAAAGCAGCGTATCCCCAGGGTGCCTATGGAATAGAAATATGGTCACTCTATGTTCTCTTCCGAACGGTGCCAAAGTTGGGCGTCCGTTTAATTATGTGGGTACAACCCTATTAAAGGACCTTCCTTTTATTTATTGAGAGATTGTTTTCGTCCAGAATATTCATGAAATATTTGCCACTGGACGTTAAGCATACAGCAATTTAAATCAATCAAAAAGCAGCGTCCATATATGTATGCGTGTAATGTAATAGACTGTATAAGTAAAGAAGACAGCAACTCAACAATACAGTAACCAAAAGATATAATGGCTTGATAAGTTACCATGTACATGGTCAGTATGTGTGTAGGGTATAACATGGTCAGTATGTGTGTAGGGTATAACATGGTCAGTATGTGTGTAGGGTATAACATGGTCAGTATGTGTGTAGGGTATAACATGGTCAGTATGTGTGTAGGGTATACCATGGTCAGTATGTGTGTAGGGTATAACATGGTCAGTATGTGTGTAGGGTATAACATGGTCAGTATGTGTGTAAGGTATAACAATGTGTGTAGGGTATAACATGGTCAGTATGTGTGTAGGGTATAACATGGTCACTATGTGTGTAGGGTATAACATTGTCAGTATGTGTGTAGGGTATAACATGGTCAGTATGTGTGTAGGGTATAACATGGTCAGTATGTGTCTAGGGTATACAACTAGTTATCATGGTACATTAATTCTCCCCTTTTCCTTTCTACCTCATTTATCCTGAAAGTTAATCACAAACGCTAAATACATGTTTTAAACAGTTATCAACAAGATGGCTAACTTTAATAAAGGAACAAGAGACAAATTAGGAAAATAAGTCCCCAATATGCTTGCTATGTATTGTGTGCGATTTTGTCCCATGTACATTTACTCCATATCCTTTTATTTTCTACTGCTAGTACAATGGTGGTTGTCACAACATCTATCAGATAGTAAAGAATAAAAAAAAGTGACGTGTTTTCTATTTTTATGTAACATGCATGCCATGAAATAACATCATTTTACAGTGGAGTAGCTTGACCCATTATTTCTAGTAAGGTAAAACAAATTGAGCTTTGGAGTCAATGCCTAAGCGCGACCCAAAAATCGCGATACTGTTTTGAAGTTGATAGTTTAAGGGCTTAACTTCCAGTGACAAGTATTTCATACATTTACAGGACGAGAACAAATTGACAATCCAATAGAAAAGTAGAACATGTTAGACCGTCAGCGGCAGAATTTTTGCATTGCAAAAGCTCTCTCCGTGTATCCCTTAAAGACTTGTTGCAAGGATTCTTTAAAGTACTGAGAGTCTGGCACATTCCATACACGAAGCATAGGATTAAACTTCTGTATTCTGACCAGTCATAGCTACGTATTTATACATAACAGACTTCCCTCTTAAGCATAGGTTTCTTGCCTGGAGAAGTCTAGGAAAGACCATATTTATACCTAAGTCAATCCTTATAATTTATTCAAAGCAACTCTATAAATCTAGTGACAAGTACGCAACATTTTTAGGGTTTGAGCGATCCTAATGAATGTAAATTCATGCATGCAGAAAACAGTTTTAATCGGTGGACCAAAAGCGTAAATTTGATTGGATAATAACACCCCCCCCCCCCCACCCCCCCCCCCCCCCCCCCTCCCCCCCACCCCTTTTCGGCATGTGTTTTAGTTTTACTGCTGAACTGAAAAAAAGTCTATGTGATCATAATTGTATACCTTAATTCATCATCATGGTAATGTTAATGCAGAATAAACATAAATTAACTAGATATTCATATCCTTTAAAACAATTACATTTACAGTCGCATTCAATTATTAATTACTTCAGAGGTTTTTTCAAAAGGGGTGTACTTCATTTACATAAATTTTAACTATTTCCACCTTAAATTTTTAAATACTACGCATTAAATCCATACATTTGAAAATAAAATCAAGTTGAAGACAGATCCTGATCAAACCAAAAATAACCCTTAGAATCCTGATCACCTCTCAAATGCTTTTGAACTTATTTGTTGATATTAAAGTTTAAGATCAACTATGTCTTGGTACCATATTACGTTTAGGGGTTTTGCATACATTATAAATGGATGTGCTAAAAAGTCTGTCTCATATGAATAAAAGAGCATGTCGGTTAGAAGAGTTGCACCCTTTGTGCCCAAAGGAATGTCGACTGATTTTTTAAACACTTTCACTCATCGTAACAATATGGTGTCAGTAAATCAATTAAGTATCATGTCAGTTTTACAATTCTGCCCTCTTGTTTAAACCACTGTTTTTTCAAAGTATAATTTGTCCGTTCCTATTTAAACATTTGTTTCTACCTTTGACATACTAATGAAGCAATATTTGACTTATAATTGTATTCTGTATTTAAACTATTAATGATAAAAAACGTGTTTTAAATGTAATAGAAATGAACTATTTGGAACCATCTTCACTATATACTCTTGAATACTCCTGTAAAACAATTTTTTGAGTTTCTTCTGCACTGCCTCAATGGAATATTATCCGTAAGATGAAAACAAATACATTTTAGTGATGCAATTTATTACAGAAATTCTAAAATAACAAAATTCATAACAGGTCAATATGCTGCATTCAATAGGTCGTAAGCCTTCACATAAGTATTTTATCCACGATATCCACCTCCCCAACCTCTTCTGAATCCACCTCCCCAACCTCTTCCGAATCCACCACCAAAACCTCCTCTATATCCACCACCCCATCCTCTTCTGCCACCCCAAAATACTGAAAAGAAAATTTAAATCTTATAAACAACGTGTTCCAAAACACTTGACCTAAAATGTTATTTCAAGTTTTTCGAATGTTGAAGATTCACTTAAGACTATTAAATAATAAACTCGTTACTTCTTTCTTTTCAATATCTTAGTTTAATCTCTACTAAACGATCGTGCAAGACCTTGTGGCTACAAACACAGCTGATATTTAAAGACACTAAACATTTATTGTCTATGTAATAGTCATTTTTCTTTCCTGTAATGTATACTTACTTCTACGTCATTTGGTCTTTGGTGGAGAGTTGTCTCGTTGGTAGTCATACCCTATCTTTTTACTTTTATATTTTAAGATCATCAAGATTTATCTTTTTACACATTTTATGATGAAATAGTGTGATTGTTTTTCAAGTTTATATTTGATTCTAATACATCAAACTTTTTATCTATTTTACATCTCATCTCTTATTTGTAATTAACAATATTAATAGGCATCTGGGCATTTCATTTTTTAACTTTACTATCGTGATCAATTGGACTGTTCAACCAAAAATTTCAGTTTAACCGAAAATATGTAAGAAAAGATAGATTTCATATATATATATTTTGGAGATTGACTTACTAATATTTATTTTGTACATAAATTAGGCCGTTAGTTTTCTCGTTTGAATTGTTTTACATTTGTCATTTCGGGGTCTTGTATAGCTGACTATGCGGTATGGGCGTTGCTCATTGTTGAAGGCCGTACGGTGACCTATAGTTGTTAATTTCTGTGTCATTTGGTCTATTGTGGAGAGTTGTCTCATTGGCAATCATACTACATCTTCTTTTAATATTTACAGCTAAAATATTATACTTACTGTTTCTCTTATAGCCTGGAAATAAAGACAAAAAAGAATATAAACAGATGATAAAATAAACAAACTTAGCGTCTCTTTTTATATATGTGAGCTCTCATAAGCTTTACTTCATTACACGAAAGATGTGGTTATGCTTAACGCATATTAAAGGTGTGCTGACCAATAAATTATAATAACATGTAAACTGTTCAGATTTGGATTCGGTTATCTCGTCTCTGTGATTTGTGTCATTTAAGGTGGTACAAAACACTACAGGGAGATAACTCTGTAAAAATCAGCTGAACGTTTTAATCACGTTCTTATTGTTAAGGGAATATTAAGATTCTCAATGATCAAAATTAGTGTTTGTCAAACTGCTGTATTTCCAATAAAATTTTCCCGATAAAGTGTGTGGTGCAAGTTTTTTGAAAATTTCATATTTTTGTCAAAGAGTCAAAGTAAATATTTTGTCAAAATTTTATGAAAATTAAACGAGCCAAATGAATTTTAGTCAAGGTGTTTGGTACCACCTTAAGATTGAAAATCATGTATTCTACAATTCTGTTCTTTTACATTTTAAGTGGGTTCACGTTCCTTCATACTATGCCTTGTTAATGTCAAACACGGAAATAACAATGTCTCCTTCCGTTAACAGGAAAACAATCAGAAGTGTTTCATATTTTTTATGTCGGGGCCTTTTATAGCCGACTATACAGTATGGGTTTTCTCATTGTTGAAGGACTTACGGTTGCCTATAATTACTTACATCCACGTCTTTTGAACTTTAGTGGATAGTTGTCTCATTGGCAATCATACCACATCTCCTTATTTTTATATACTTTATATACCTACATGACATAATGGATTTACAACATAATATCTTATTCAATAAGGCGATTACATTTGGTGTAATAATACAAAAATTATAAAATATGAAAAAAATATTATGCTTCTCCTGTTTTTAAACTAGACATTGTTGATAATTGAATAAGCAGCAAGCTGTACAAATTGTTTGACAATAAACTCAAATTTGATATTTTGTATAACTTACGTCCACTATCTTCCATAGCACTAACACTGAAACTTGCTAGAGCAACCATCAGGATGACACAAATAGCAAATAATCTCATTCTGTTCGGTTTGTAATTATTCTGCAAAAAGTATTCAAAATTGTTTTTTATAAAATGTCTATATTTTTTACGAATTTTTATGGTGTTTGTCTTTTGTTGTGGTTGTACAATGTAGTTTGTATTTATCACGGTTGGTATATTTTCTTGTGTGTTACTTCTTTTTTTCCCGTATCCTCCACAATTTTTTCTATTTGAGATATTGTTAGAAAAATTGGCACAGTACTAACATCTATTTGTGTAGAAAAGACACTTATAGCGACCACATGTAACAATTAGTTGAACAACGTACAAAAATGTGTATGGTTTTATTCAATTAAAATACAGGAAAACAATGTTATTCTAATATTTCTATTAATTGGTGTAATTAATGTCTTTAGTGTACTTAATGTTTTTACATGTTTGAAAATTCTAATAATAGTTAATGTAAGATGCATTTTTTTTTCTTTACAATAATACTTGAATGAAATTAACAATGCCTAGTCTAATTTATGTTTACTCGTGGAATTCTCATTGCTATCTATCAAAATATGCAATGTTGAATAACAAAATGAGTGAAATAAAAAAAATTAAATTCGCCTACAATAATTGAAGAATTAATAAATGTTTATAATATACTAATTACATCGTTTTAAGAAAAAAATATTACAATTTTAGCTCCAAGAAAATAACAAAAACAAAACAAAAAAATCACTAATTTTGTAAAACAATAGTGATAAAAGCTTTATTATATACTTAGTAGTAAATACAGATAAATTGTATGTGTAATACAATCATTGGCAAGCGTGCTGTATTAGCCACCCGTGATGATATCGATATCAGCACGGTTGCACAGGCTTTATCACACCTTTAATCTGTATGACGTCACGTCATCGATTGCAGTCGCTGTTGAATATCGATATCGATATCAGCACGGTTGCAAAGGCTTTATCAAACCCCTAATCTGTATGACGTCATTTCAAACCTATAATCTGTATGACGTCATTTGAAACCTCCTTATCTGTATGACGTCATGTCACAAAAAAACATCTACGTGAGGTATATGTATATAATAAAGTGTATATGATATGGCTTTTTCAATATCACATACCGTATCAACCCTCAACCAATATAATCCCTCGAGCAGAGCTCTTGGGATTATATTGGTGTCTCGGGTTGATACGGATGTGATATTGAAAAAGCCATATGATATTCTCTATTTACTTAACATTTATGTAACAAGACAACTAAAATTGACAACTAGAATGGAAAGGCTGCGAGTGTTATATCGTTCTCTGGAAAACTCTTACTTTAACACCATGATAGCGTATTTTACATCGCAAACATTTAATAAAATAAAATGCATAGTACAAAAAGTACTGCATATATATATCACATGTGCACCTATTATATGTATAAAACTTAATAGATTGAAAAAAAGTATATATTTCTTAACGAAATTACCTTAAATGTGAAACTCAAGATCAGAAGTGTCCTTTCCCTGAACTATAGGAATTGGCCGAGATTTCTTATATATATACCAATGTGAGTAACCGCGGAAAACATAACTAGATTTATTTACCCCATTAAGTACGTCTTAGGTTTTTGTATTTACAGTAATTAATTACTACGGTACATGCCACCCTAACCTATTCGGACAACTTATTTTACATGTTTTACAGCGTCAATACATAGAATATATATCATTCTACGTAGTTAATGTAAAGAACAATTACTTGTTATTTAATAATGTACATGTTTATAAATTCTTCTCATTATTGTGTGGTCATTGTGTGGTCATTTATCTACAAAAAAGACATGTTTTTTTATGTAGCCTTCATATGAATCATGCAATTAATGAAAACAATATAATTCACCCGAAAAAGGCTGTACACATTTTTAATTTTGATAATTTAATTACTATCTAAAGTGTTGTACATGATGAAATGGATAATAATTATTCCTAGACTGTCTTATCATGAAAGGAAATTGACTTGTTATTTACAATGTAATGTACATGATGTATAGCAGATAATGGTATTATTTCTAGTTAGATTCCTATGTTTTGTTTTGTAGCATGATTTTGTCCTGTCGTTGTTTTTCGTTTTTTGCCATGGCGGTGTCAGTTTGTCTTCGACATATGAGATTGAATATCGTTTTTGGTATTTCAAATCTCTCTTTTGTCATGAAAATTTTCTGTTCCAGTGACCAAAAATAATTGTAGTGTAATAGAAACCGTTTTGTATCATGCCTGTATTAAATATGTGGAAAAAGTACATTTTACAGTCGCCGGCATTAGATATGTAGTCACTTGTTTCGACTTTTTCTGGTGTATTTTTACATAGAACTTATCATGAATTATTAATACACGAACAACTAAGTGACCATATGATTATTTACCTATTTTGTAAACAGAAATTCATCTTGCAAGAACAAATATGCAGTTTATAAGAAAAATTAGATTGGATATCGAGGAATGAAAATAAAAATAGTTTGGGTGACAATTTTCTCTGGTTTTTGGCGCATTCTGCTAGTATATTAACACATGACTTAGTCAAAATCTCTTTGTTTTTACTGTGCTGCATGACTTTGTATAATCTTGATAATGCACAACTTTTAATTACGCCCAAATACCCTGCACAGTTCAAATGTACTCTTACAATACATTACATGTACAGTTACGACATAGTTGATAAACTAACATCTTTGTACAACTTCATCTTTTCCAAATATGAATTAAAAAAAATTAAGATTGTCAAAATGTTAGGGACGAAAGAAAGACTCCTTTTTATATCTGGGAATTGTTTTTGATATTTTCTGTGCAATGTAAATCCTTAATCAATCCGCAAGCTATGTTTAAGTAGATAATTATTGTTTTTTGAAATATTTAAAAAATATGAATATAATTTGTCTATTAAGATTTCATTTGAACTAGTTTCGTGCTCAACGGAGTTTACTACGAATTTTTTAAAGATATTTAGTCGTGTTAAGGTTACTGGTTCGGGATCGAATTTGATGCTGATCATTATCTAAATATTTGGCGTTAACAGGAAAAATATCAAATAAGATGCAGATCGATAGGCTTCGTGTAGATGCGGCTTGTCTTCAAATTTCTTTAAACATTGAAAAAGTATAGGGAGGGTTTAATTATAAAAAGATTATCTTTTGTTTTTCGTTTTATTTTTTCCAATAAATTGTGATCCATCTGTCTTCAATTGACAACACTCTATTTATACACATGAACCCTTTTAATTTATGATTTCTTGTGAATCAATTTTAAAGTACACCAAACGGAACTAAAACTGTCCGACTAAAAGGAGATGTGGGTTATGCGCCAATGAGGTAGCAACCCAACGACAACAACAAAAAAAAACAATGGACATCTAGAGGGCAGTATACTTTTTTCAACCAAAAACATGAGTCTCCACAATATATATAAATTATCCAATATCTATATAAATTTTGTAACTGAATTTAAAAAAAACAATCAAAGATTTGCCATCAAAACTCAATTTTCAAAGAACTTGACTAATGACATTACAGTATAAACTATTCTTATAATCAGGCATATATATATATATATATATATATATAAGCCTAATTATAAGAATAGTTTATAATTCAAAAGTAATCAACATTTTTTATTACGTAAAAGCGTATTTTTCTTTCTATATACAAAAGAACTTCACGGGACACGTAAGCTGACAAGAGTAATTAATACGCCCATTTCTAGGATTAAAAACAAAATTCAAGTACTCGCAAAGCGTACCGGCCGACAAAGCAGCCAACAATGTGGTGGTGGTATGACGTAAATACTGCACGGAATTCCTTAAGAATCAAAGTATACATTCAACTACATTCAAGGCCTGATATGCTCCACAGAGAGTCATATAGTAAATAATCATGTCACTACCACAGCTCAGCTTGAGGCCTCTCTGAACTTTGTTCTACTACTAATCTTTCGGTGCTTTTAACGAGTTTCTTAACTACTACAAAGAACTTATCAATGTTTTTTGTAATAAAACATATAAAAATAGAGGAATTAACCATTTTTGGAAAGTAAAAAATTCTTTGGATGTTTTATACACATATGTACTTTCACGATACTACAATCTGTCGATACCTGTATTTTGGCATTGCACAAGGTCATGTTTCCCTCTGACTGTTAATGACGTCTTAATACTAATTCCATTGGATGTTGGATGTGTACAGATTGATATTTTAGTCTTAGATACATGTTTTTTTATTTTAGTTGTTATTGGCTTTGAACTTTATGTCAGTAACTGCGAGTACTCTCAGATCTGTACTTAGTGTCTTTTTAGTTGTTAGGGATAAGGGATGGATAAATACCCTGCCACGTCTGGTCTGTGTTTTTGTTTGATGTTTTTTCTGCTTTGTATCGTTCTGATGGGTTAAGCCTTTTTTCAACTGATTTTTATAGTTTGTTCCTATGTTGTGTTGTTACACCACCGTCCCAGGTTAGGGGAGGGTTTAACATCACGTTTAAACATGTTTGACCCCGCCACTTTCTTTATGTGCCTGTCCCAAGTCAGGAGCCTGTAGTTTAGTGGTTGTTGTTGGTTCATGTCTGTGATATTTGTTTTTCGTAAAATGTTTTGTTATAAATAAGGCCGTTAGTTTTCTCTATTGAATCGTTTCATATTTTTCGTGCCGGGGCCATTTATAGCCGACTATACTATATGGGTTTTTCACATTGTTGAAGGCCGTACGGTTGCCTATAATTGCTTACATTCACTTCATTTGAACTTTGGTGGCTAGCTGTCTCATTGGCAATCATACCACATCTCCTTGTCGTCCGCAGTCAAATGCGTTTTGTTCAAATATACTTTTTCACTTTTTTTGGTCTTTTGGAAAATTTTGTTTGTGCTGTATTTAGACCCCTCTAACAAGAAATTTGTTTTTCGTATAAAAATTGCGGTTTTTATCCAACGCAATCATAGGTTTGAACGTTGTTTTCAATTTAGACTTCATCTCAAAGTCAAAGCACATATTATATTGTAATAGCAGGCTACTGTTTAATGTTCATCTATTGATGCCTTTTTAAAAGTTTTGTCGTTGAGTTGCTGTCTCGTTGACAAAAACATCTGTTTATTCATAAAAAAGACCAAAGCACTTAAAATTAACACACCGCTAGTGATAAAAATAAGTTTAATCTTGAATGCAATATCTAGATTGTCTGCCATCAGGGTCATTAGATTATAAATGTAGATAAGGACTACTTAACTATATTACAGTCAATCGTTAACTCTACAAGACAAGGTCAATGAAAAACTCATGTGTTCTTCTCATTTTTGCATTTATCATCATTCAAGGTAAATATATTCCTAGTTATAATGAACATTTTTTACCCCTAAAACTGACATAATCATTTCTAGTAGAATGCCCAGTGTCCAAAAAGTCCTCTAGTTAACGACTTTAAGTTAACGGATAACACATTTTTTACAATCATGATTGTCGTCGTAAGTTCCCATGGTCACGATTTTCTAAATTTCGTGTTTTTACAGGGTACCTCCAGATACCGTATTGTACGTGGAATCTTTAACATGACAATATATAAATAACACATAGCTGAGAGGGTGATAGAGCAGATTGTTACCCCGGGAAAACATTGTCAACTGAGGTGAAGCCAAGGTTGACAATGTCTTTTCGAGGGGTAACAATCTGCTCTATCACCCTCTCAGATATGTGTTATTTAATTTATTATACTGAATGTTCTGTTATTACTGTCTATTAAATTTCAAATTCAAAGTAATAAAATATTTCCTCTTGTACATAACAATCATCCGTATTTATTAAAGCGCGCACTTGAGCAAGCGTCTCGTGAAGGGTAATAGAGTATTTGCCATGGGATAGAGTAAATTGTCTCCCTCGTATTAACCAATCAAAATCTGGCATTTTGACATGAAGTATAATAAATAAAATTATTACGCTCTTTGTTGGTGGTTAAAATAGTACTTATAATATAGTTTATACATTAAATATATTATATAACAAAAGCGGAAAGTATATAAGTGATTTCAGCATTTTAGTAAGACTAAAATTTTACCCGAAATTTGCCACATTTTCATCGAAAAGCAAAATTATTACGTGTATCATCACGTTATTTTTTACTCTGATTAAAGCAATAAGACACGGTGCATGTGTGTGCCAAATTTCATGTGTGAAATGAAAGTAGTTTTGAAGAAATTAGTAATTAAAAACACAAATTAAGTCAACATTTTCCATTGATTAAACACGGATTATCCCGTGAGATTAATCATTTTGTTGCTTACACTATTAGCTAGGTCATTAACAAGGACAGCGGTCACTCAATGCATTTCTTATTTTTGCTTGTTGTGTAGTTGATTTATCTGTTTTGTATAGCCAGCTAACTTTTAAATTGTTATTTTCTTCGGAGGAATATGTTTTGTGTCTATTTAATTTTTTCAATACTTTAAACTTTTTATTGAATAGATATATAATTGTAGTATAAGAATCAAATCGGTCGGCTTCGTTTCACACCCGGAATATGGCACATCAAGTCTATATTATGGTCTTGCATAAGGTTTTCGACCTAAATCCCCCTCGGTGTGAACGACAACAAAAATGTATCACCGTTCGTGCTATAAATTATACACCAGCAGACACAACTGCAATAATTTCAAAGCTGAATTTGCAATAGGTTTGTCCGAGCAAACCACTGAAGCCAATGACCTATATGTGACAAGCTGGCAGCAGGAAAATTTTGACCAATATTTTTTTTTCATCTATTGCTACGCATGCTTATTTTTTTCCGCAGCTTTGCTGCGCAAAAATTTATTTTGACTTTTGTACACATTTATATCCTCAACTATCCTGCATTTCATGTTGCAGGGTATTCGTTTTCATCCGGTCTTGTGCAAAGTCATTTATTTTCAGTTCATACCAGGCCAAGTTATTGATTTTCAAAATCTTCCCCCTTCCTCCTTTCGAAATCAAATAAATGGTCGTCCCCTACTGAAAGCTAATGAAAGGACGTCATCAATTTAAAGTCTGAGAAAAGTCTGATCATAAACATCATTTCCGTAAAAACTATAATTCTACTGGTAAAGCAACTGACTGAATTGTGTCGAAATTCTTAGAGAAAAGTATTATACATTCTATATATGTCTGTCCCAAGTCAGGATCGAGCCGGTATATTAGTGGCTGTCGTTGGTTCATGTCTGTCATTTTTTTTTTGTAAATTGTTTTGTTATAAATCAGGCCGTTAGTTTTCTCAAATGAATTGTTTCAATTTTTATATCCGGGTTTATAGCCGACCATACGGTATGAGTTTTTCTCATTGTTGAAGGCCGCACTGTTGCCTATTACTGCTTACTTCCACATCTCCTTATTTTTATATTATACAAGTATTACATAACATTAATATTATCAATGTTCCATGTAAATGAGGTAAGATCAGATGAACTCTGCCACAAAGACATATACACTTTGCTACCATTCCGTACACCAAATATAGTTGACCCACTACTTATAGTATCTGAGATAAGGACTTGACCACTGAAACTTAACCTTGTTCACTGATCTATGAAATGAGGTCGAGGTCAGGTGAACCATGTGTGACTGGCATTTAGACCTACTGTATATTAGTAACCAAATATGGTTATCCTAGAACTCATGATAAAAGAGATGCGAGTGATACCAAAGGAACATTCAAACTCACAAGTGAGACATTCACATGACGAAAAAAAGCTATACAGTATTTTAGCAGTCACTAAACCATGAAAATGAGGTCAAGGACAATGATTATATGACAGACGGGAACTTCGTAACACAATGGATCTATTTACAAAGTATGAATTATCCGATTCCTCTACCCTCTGAAATATAAAGATATACAAATAGTTTACGGTGTTGCCACCGCCACCATCAGATTCTATGCAGTATGCCTCGCATTCTGCGACTTGCTTCGAATGCGATTTAAAAAAGAACAACTGAAATTAGCTCTCTAACCTAAACCTGGTCGATGAGCATTCGACTTAACAGTAGACAATGAAACGTAATAGCTTCTGCTAGCTTCGGCAATTTTTCTATGTTGTTTCAATCTGATTAAAATTCTGATCAATATTAACTCGCGGGCTCGTATATATCAGCTCAAATGAGGAAAACGAAATCAGAGATCTATATTTTAATAAGATTGATGGTGTTTACAACCCTCTTTTTGTAGATAATCTTTAACTTCATGTCAATTGTAGGCCAAATTATGCTCAATAAGGCATATAAGTGTGTAAGATGGAGTGATTAACCTGTTTCTAATTGTCATTTTGTTTTTATATATACTTTGACAGAAACCCTTCCCCTTTTTCACCGTTTGCAGTCTTTCTTATTTCTATAAAGCAAAGATATACTCATACTTGCTAATTCCGTCCATTCTGCGTTAATATTACACCGGTTTTGGAAGTACAATTGTATGTGCTTCCACACTCACCAAAAGAAAATTGGATATTAACACAAAAATTCATTACGTACACCCTATAAGTACAAATGTCAATCTCGAACCATATTTGGCAACATAAATATCAAATTAGTCCTAAATATAGAAACTATAGTTATAATCCTAATTTTGCTATAAACGGATATATAAAGGGGCGGCTAGCTGTCTAAACGTGACTCTGCGTTTTCCTTGAAATTTAAGCTTTGACCTTTGAACCAAATTTAAGAAAATCGTGACCACTGTAGACAACGACGACATCAATATTTTCATATGATATCAATTACAGCCGTGTGCTATTCCGTTAACCCAAAGCGATCAAATTCGTTGACTGGGCACCCTACTACTCTGATATATGTTTATACATGCAGTGTATTCAGGGTAAGTTCCCGCGGTGAAATCACATTATAGGTACTCTGTGAATTAACCATGTTAACATACAATTTAATGATGACTCATAACTTATATAATTCGGACAATAGTTACACTGTGCCTTGATTTAAACAAAATAGGTAACATACAGAAGTAAAAGAGGAATTGATATTGATATTGATTTTATGTCTCATCTCTCTCTTGTGTCCTTGTATATAAACCATCTAAAACAAAAACAAAAATTTCTTTTATATGTATGTGCTGTACATAATTGAAATTAATTACTAAGTGTACATACTCCTTATGGAGGTGTTCCTACTTACAGGAGGCTTATACACAGAAGAAGAAGAGGTTTGTCAAAATATAGCTGTTCTTTGTCTTTGGGTTTCAAAATAAAATCTATAAATTGAATTGGTTTGGCATAATGTCGCGCAACAATGCTTTGTTGATTTATGTAATCTGGAATGAAAACTATCAAAATTTTCAAACAATCAAGCAAGTCGCTCCTTGTTGAGAGTATCACGCGCCAGTAACCATTTTTGGTGTAACACAGCGGTACATATTTGAAACAAAATGGTTCCTACGCTTGGGTGTAGCTTCAAAATAGTAGAATGTTTTTTTTTTATTATTTTTTTTGTATCAAATGAAAGCTGAATGACTGGTGATGATTAATTTAGAACACTTTTTGACTTATATTTTGAATTAAAAAAAAATTGTAAAAAAAGAACAGGGGGTTTATTTTGCCTGTTTCTAAGATCTGAACTACCTAGCTGTTCAGGTACTTCCGAAGTTCCGGGAACCAGTACTCTCTTATATGCAATTACAGGTACGTTGATTTTTTCAGTACAAGGCGACATCAGGTGTTGCTTTGACATGCAATGACTGTCACTTTATTTGAACTTAACAAACGAGCTGTGACGTTTGAAATTGAGGAATTTGACATTAAAAGCAATGAGGTGATGAATTAGTGGTGTTCCTCCTTTTCACTGATCTACATTTTTTTTTATCTACATTATTTACATGATTTAAAATTGGTAGTAATGTTAAAAAATTAAACGTTCAAATTACTATGACCATGGAAGTAATATTTGAATATTACTTCCATGCTATGACATAGGTGGCGTATTTTTTAATATTAAAATGATTCTTAAAAATTAAAAACTCAGATGAATTTTTGATTTTAGAAATTGATTTTTTGATATAATTGATAAATAGACTGATTACTTAGTATAAAATTGTTTATCCATACTAAGAAATCATTTTTTTAATATTAATGAATAATGATTTATTTTCATATATTAAGAATATTTTTTATAATTAAAAAAACGCGAATTTTTGATATCAAAAATTGAAATTTTTTTATCATAAAAAATACAACATATTTATGAATAACAAAAAAATGCTATTGTTTTGATATTAAAACATTATTTTTAATATTCAAACATTATTTTTAATATTTGAACATTATTTTAATATCAAAATATTATTTTTAATTAAAAAACATAACTTTTAATATTAAAATCGATTTATTAGTATTAAAAAAATAGGGAGTAATTTCCTCAACGGCCTACATTTACAGACATAAACATTTGTATAATTTCAAATGAACCAAGTAACAAATGAAGATACCGTCGTCGGGTTATATTTAAAAAGAAATATTATGTTTTATATAAGGTATTGTTGAATTTTTCATGTTATAGGTGAGCCACAATGCCAACAAGAAGGAAACACTTTGACTCGTCATGTTACTTAATTGAATCCACAAACAAAACCTGGTCAGATGCACAGGTACATGTGTAAATAATCAAAATGTATATGTCTTTAAAAAATATACAACGTAATAAAAAGTTACTAGAAAACCTTTATTTTGATCATATCATTCATCATTGTTTCAAATAGTGAGATCATGGTTTATACATTTAACTTTTAATAGATTAATTCAGAAATAAACTTGGTAGAATCTTTCGGAATTTTGGGTCCTCATTGCTACTGAAATAGATATCAGAAGTCAAGTGTTATACAAAAAAAGTTTAGTATTGAAAAAAAAAACAGCATGAATATTTGAAAGGATATTCGAACCTTGTTATTCCTCCTATTTTGGCTAACCTTAATATTCCTCCTATTTTGGCTAACCTTAATATTCCTCCTATTTTGGCTATCCTTGCTATTCCTACTGTTTTTGCTAGCCTTGTTATGGTCCTGTTTTGACTAGCCTTGCTATTTCTCCTTGTTTGACTAGCCTTGCTATTTCTCCTTGTTTGACTAGCCTGGCTATTTCTCCTTGTTTGACTAGCCTTGCTATTCCTCCTGTTTTGGTTAGCCTTGCTATTCCTCCTGTTTTGGTTAGCCTTGCTATTCCTCCTGTTTTGGTTAGCCTTGCTATTCCTCCTGTTTTGGTTAGCCTTGCTATTCCTCCTGTTTTGAGTAGCGTTGCTATTCCTCCTGTTTTGTCAAGCGTTGCAATTCCTCCTGTTTTTGCTAGCCTTGCTATTCTTTCTGTTTTGACAAGCCTTGCTTTTCTTCCTATTTTAGCAAGCCTTGCTATTCTTTCTGTTTGGCTAGCCTTTCTATTCTTTCTGTTTTGGCTAGCCTTTCTATTCTTTCTGTTTTGGCTAGCCTTGCTAGTGTTCATGTTTTGGTTAACCTTATTATCCTACCTGTTTTGGTGAGCGTTATTATTCTTCCGGTTTTGGCTAGCTTTGCTATTTTTTATCTTTATTTCTTTTTTTTTTTTTTTGGTGAGACTGGGTATTCTTCCAGTATAGCGAGTCTGGTTATTTTACTAGTATATAAATAAGGTTTACTGAAATAGAAAAACAAAATGACCATCCGTAGAAAAACGAAATGCTAGAGAATATCATCGAGAATCAACCCAGTGTTATTGATGTCTATCTCACATACTTATTTACCTACTTTAGTAAACAAAATACATGTCATATTGTGTTAAAAAAACAGAAGTACTGAAATACATAACACGGAATCATTATGTACGTGTAAATATAGTATAAACATGTCAATTTCTGTGAAATATAGAAAAATATGCTGAAAGAAAATACAACACTTGATTGAATTATTATTAATATTTCATTTTTATTTTTCTGCAAGAGTTTCTGTCAACACACCCACCATGCCTACCTAGCCGAACTGGAAACTGTTGATGAGAATAAATATTTGCTGGGTCTTCTTCTATCTATGCCATCCAGTAACAAACGTAAGTATTGGTATAAATAGTTAGTCATCAAATTAACAATAGTATCTTCGAAAGCATTAATACTGAATATTTTATCCCGGCAAGGTATCAACGAAATCAAAGAGTTGATCCAATCCTGTCAGGTTTTATGCACTTTTCTTTAAATTTGACTTGAAGTTCGGTATTTTGGTGAATACTTTTTCAAAAATATCTAAATATACAATATACATGTATATATCTGTGTAATTGTAGTGTAAACTAAAAATAAGAATTAATACAGAAAACAGTGCTGTAGTAAGGAATGTCGTCCTTAAATTAACGTATATCAAGCGAGGCTCGCACAGCCAACATTGACCTTAGATGTATTTGGCTATTTTTATGTCCTTTTTGGTCATATGGCTCTTCAACTGTTCCGGTTCTTATACATTTTAATCTTTCAAATATTCGGCTTTGAGCGTTCCTGATGAAGGTAAATCCAGTATAATGCTGCGGACGCATAAAGTTTATAAAGCATTGTTTTCAGTTCATTATCTAAGTAAAATATTCCAAACTTGATGCAATTGTTTCAAAAGCGTTATCTTTCAACATAAAAAAAACACATCCAATTATCTTTTAAAAAAATTCGTATATGGAAAAATAGAAGATTAAGATAAAGATAATCATTTTCAGATAATTTTTGGCTTGGTGCAAATGATATTAATGCAGAAGGCAAGTTTTTCTGGAGCACTAGTAATCATGAATTTGATATAACTGATTGGGGGCCACATGAACCAAATGGAGGCAAAGGAGAAAATTGTCTCGATACTCGTATATACGATGATGGCAAACTTCACTGGAATGACCATTCTTGTGGCTTGCATTTTTACTTTGTATGTGAAACGAGGTCAGTCATAATCATATCTATACACATGATTAAAAACTAATTATAACATATAGTTTATATACACGGAAACCTACACATATATGATATAGGAAAATAAAATGCGGGAAAATTCTTCTTTAGAAATTGTTTACATATAATAACTCATACTTCAGTCTAATTCAGAAATCTAAAAAAAAACTAAAAACACACACACACACACTAAATAAATTAATCAAATTGAAAATAATAATTTGTAGCAAATATATAATGAAAAGACACGTGAAACAGCGCAAGCTCGTGGTCGTTGTTTCATGTTCAAAATGATAAAGTCATCCCTTTGAAATTTTTACGGTCGCCATTACGATTGGCTTGACCGTTTCTTAATATATGTGTTACAGATAAACACAGATATGTTCCAATATTGTCGTCATCACAATCTCGTCTTTTTATTTCGATTGTGACATCACCGAATTAGACCTCCCGGAGCACCCAAATTAGACATCTCGGAGCATCCAAATTAGTCATTCTAGGTTTTAAGTTAAGTTCAAGTTGCTCCATAGTTAGTTTTCTATGTAGTGTTTTGTTGGCTTTTTCGTCTTTTTGTCATTTTCGTTTTATTTTTTTCTGCCATGGATTGTCAGATTTTCTTATAAGTTTTGTATGTCCCCTTGGTATCTTACACCTCTCTTTCTCAGGTGAGGATACATTAAGGATGTTCGCTACTCTCCTTCAAAATAACAAGATTTTTAAAAGACTGTTATAAATTGATAGTATATAAATAGAGGAAATATAAAACCTCTCTTTCTCAGGTGAGGATACATTAAGGATGTTTGCTACTCTCCTTCAAAATAACAAGATTTTTAAAAGACTGTTATAAATTGATAGTATATGAATAGAGGAACTATAAAACCTCTCTTTCTCAGGTGCGGATACATTAAGGATGTTCGCTACTCTCCTTCAAAATAACAAGCTTTTTAAAAGACTGTTATAAATTGATAGCATATAAACAGAGGAACTTTAAAAGCAGAAAAAAAATTAAGGGTCCGTGGGCTTGTTTTCGAGATATAAGCCACTGAAAATTTGGCGGGAAATGATTCTCTCTAGACTTTTCATACATTGGCACCTTTTTTCTTTCAAAAACTATGAACAAATAACAAGGATTTTATAGGATTTTCAAATATGGCTTTTTAAACTATATGTAATAAAATTATGAAAAGAAACGTAGGGGTTAGCGGGCAAAATGTTTGATGACACTACATGGATACAACCAGAGGATTCTGAATATCTAGCAAACATTCAAAAACAAGAGGAGCGAACATCCTTAAATCGTCGAAGTACACGTGTATGCACTAAATATAAAAATAAAAACTATCTGTAGTGAATATTTATGGGGGAACAAGACTTGTTTTTTTAATGAAGATTGTGTGTAGAAGAAAGAATGACCTAAAATATTATAAATGCATATAAAAAAGCATACTATAGACTTGTTATTAATTTTTGACACCTTGTTTTCTGGAATTATAAAGTATAATCTAACATTGTAGTATTGGTGGATCTGGAGGATCAAATGTAATTGGCTAAATACAATGCCTGTTGCGACGACATACGGGTACTTTTATGAGAATTAAAGTATGTGTCAGTTTTGGTTTTTCATTAAAGACAAAAGACTGAGATATCTGGATACAGGTTTAGAAAGATTTAAATAAGATTTTATGAATAACGTTATAGGACTATGAGTAATGATTTTCGTTGTTGTTTCTCCTTATTCGTACGTATTTCTTCTTTCGTGCAAAGTTGACCATAGGTAGATTTGGCTGTTTTTTAGTGGTCCCCTTTGTTTTGATAAATCTTCTCATGTTTGTAAGTATTTATGCCTACTTTCCATCAACATGAAGGATTTGAGCATTCCCGGTAAAAGTAGATTCAACAAAGCACTTCGTACACACCAAATTTATAAAGTGTTATTTGTTTTCTCAGTCGGTTGTTTGTGGTGGGTGGGGTCTTTTGTACAGTTCAAAATTCGATAATCCTTTTTCATGTATTAAACTATGAATATTAAATTCGATTACTGACAGAGTAATATTTTATCGAAATTTTCTCCAAAATCACTATATTACATATCATAAATTTGGATTTCATTGGGTTTTTTTTCTATGAAGTACTCTTTTTTCAGTTCAACACTGTCGCAATTAGAGATCTTTGGACACGTGTTGTGTAGGTTCATTTATGTTAATATTACTTCGCTGGGCCTCACCCATGTTTTGAAAAGCCTTTGTAATTTTTGACTGATTGCTTTTTGTTTGGACAAAGTCTAGTGGGAATAATTTCATACGTATTCAAGACTAGACAAAATTAACAATAAATTGAATACTTGTTTCTTTTCTTAGCGGATAGACCAGAATGAAAAAAGGGAATATCGCCACTGGAATGCAAGGGTACAATTTATATTTGATTGAAATTTTTGCATTACAACAAGCCATCTACGTTGTTGCAGATCTCAAATATTTTCATCTAGTATTTAACCTTTCAAAAATGAGTACCGTATCAATTTTGATATGCCATCCGAGAATAAAACGTCAACTTCACAAAAGAAGCAGCCGTACAACAGACAGTTCATGACAAGTGTCAAGAGCAGAACGGGAAGTTTTCTGTGTAATATTTTGTTATTGCTGTTGGTTATTTTGTGGTTTTTCTTTTTGGCAATCGTATTGTCTGTTTTATTGAACTTAACTTTTTTTTAATTTTGATTTTAATTGATGTGCGAATATTTGATATATTGCCGTTTAACTTGTGTAGTATTATTGAAATATTTCATTTCATTTATTAGAGTTTTTGAAATTGCAGCCAATGACTATATTTGCATACAAACCAGTAGTGGTCATGGAAGGGCAAGGGTGGATGCCCTTGAAATTCAATAAATGATCTACACAGAACAGTTATTTCAATATTCATCGCGGTTGACAATAATTCCTTGGGTAACTATTGTCTTCAGGGAATAAACCAACGTAGCAAACTTTCGCGTGCCTTCTGTTGGCAAGAATGAGATATGGAATTGAGAAAATGACCCGCACAGACAAAAATATTGAACACAGAAGATAAAGAATATAATTACAATATCGATAATCAAGACATAATCAGCAATTATTGGTTCATGTTGACGTAATTTATGGTACTGCGCAGTATCTTTTTTAGAAAGGGTAAACTTTAGAATGCTATCTTCATATTTCAAATTTTACAGATTGGTTCCAATCGAAAGAGAAGCTTTGATGGAAAAGATTTTACCATTGCACTAAATATATCATACTATATTTCAATCCATGTGATAGAATGATTTAATATATTTAAAAGAGTAACAACATACCAAGGAGAATATCAAGAATAAAACAAAAGTGCACATGGCCAAAAAGAAAAACGACGAAAAGACAATCAGCAATAACATATCACAACACAGAAAATATAGATTGATCAAAATAAAACCCAATAAAAACTGGGAGAGAACTCAGGTGCACCGTAAGAGTAGGCAGTTCCTGCTCAACTAGTGACATCCATCGTGTTATTCTTGTTTAAACACATTGATGTCATGTCCAATGATTAGGCATCTTATCATTGCGGATTTATGAGTGTCACTTCTCTTACCAATAAACATACAAAAAACGAACACAATAGGTACATTCAAATTGTAATAGATCTCTAAGACTTGACCGAATGTGAAAGTTTGAAACGAAATCGTCTATTTTCACGAACAATGAAAAAGCTTCAAATTTAAAAGTGAACTTTTGTGCTTCGGAATGGTAAGCAGTTATTGATCCAATAGTGCCACTCATCATGATGCTCATGCAAGTACAAATCCGATGATAAATCACATTCGGTAATGTCAAATTCGACAAAAGGGGATCGTTGTTGTAATCACGATAAGTAGGACATTTCAGTACAGCCATATGTCACACAGAAATACCATAACTGAACACCAAATCATGATGACGTCCGTAAAACTTTCAAAATAACTTTAAGTTAACTTATTGGAATCCTTGGAGCTAAAGGTTCCTAGTCATTTTCCTAATACTAAGTAAGCAGTAACGATGTTTGAAGGAAATTCTGATAAGAAACGCAAGCCCTGGAGGATTGGAGATATCATAACATATTTGGTAGTTTTTTTGTTGTTGTTTTTTTTTTTTGGATACAATTATTAAACTTATTGCATTTTGATTTTTAAACTCCCAATTATAACTTCATCATAATCCATTTGCAGCTAGACACGATAGTGGTGGTATACGTTGAACCAGTCGTGTGAAAGACAGTTCATGGTTCTGTTGTGCTGTTTTGTGTGCTGTCCTATGTAGTTTTACGTGTTCGTTTTTATTCTGTGGTTAGCATGTCGAAATGTACTATTTTATTGTTTATTTGTGTATTTCTCTGTCTTGAATGTTCTTGCATTTATTTGTACTGTATTCCTGTCATGTTATAATGTCATTTTAGTGTTATATTTAATATTGTCATAAAAGCGCGAGGTTTGGCTAGCCACAAAACCAGGTTCAACCCACCATTTTTTCTTAAAATGTCCTGTACCAAGTCAGGAAAATAGCAGTTGTTAATTATTGTTCGTTTCTGTGTGTCGTTTGTTTTTTGTTCACTTCAGTGTTTCTGTTGTTTCGTTGTTTTCCTCTTATAGTTGATTTGTTTCCCTCAGTTTTAGCTTGTAACCCGGATTTGTTTTCTCTCAATCGATTTTTGACTCTCAAACAGCGATATACTACTGTTGCCTTTAGTAACCACAGCAAAAGAAATTACGTTTAATGATTATTATTGTTGTTAAAAATAGAAAACAAAATTGAAGAAAATAACAAAACATAAACAAAATATTAAAATATTTGTTTTTCCTTTGTCTGAAATAGAGAAAAAAATCTTGTCTAGGAAAATGTTGATACCTTGCTATCCCTAATGGAATTTAAAAAAAAAATACATGATCTGGAAAAAATCATTTAGGACAATAATTTTCGGATGTGAACGTTTTCTCCCTACACCAATTCAATTTGCTTGAGTCTTGGTGCTGCTTCAATCTATGAAGTAACATTAAAAATTTGATAGAAAATGTCAACACAAATTCGATGCAGCGATTACGTTTATTTCAGAATTGTAATAATATATCATTCGTTTTCCGTTGTGGCTGGAAATCTGCGTCTAATATCCTGCAAAACAAAAAGATACATTTTATTGCATAACATTAGCTATCATATATACGAAGTTATCATTTGTGATGTTGTTTTCGTATTTATGTCAAATTCCTTATTACGTTAAATCAATCAGTTTTTTTACACAAATATTTTTACATTCTTTAGTGTAATTTTTGTTTTGTCGGATTGTTGACGTGTTTAAGTTGAATTCACGCCTCTTTTTACTCGTAATGTGAATATATCTACAGTAGTTGTCGACTTTCATGCAAATACCGTGTTTTCATTGGCTGAAAGTCGAATCACGTCCTGCCAACATATTTTTTCAATTCTAGATGAATGCAACACAAGAATTATAAGTACGCCTATCTAAGTAAATATTATTATATTTATTAATTGTTCATGTGCTTCGTGCATAGGTGATTACAAAAATTGCATTTTTTTTTCTTTTGGTAAATGAAGTTGACATATATTATTTATCCTAATATAATGATACGTACTTGAATGTACTTATTTAAAACTGTTTTTAAAATTGACATCTACATTATGAACATTTCAGATATATGACGTATAAAAAAGTGTTAAAATACAGAGCTATAATGTAAATTCAAAACGAGAGAACTCCATAAAACCGAACGTTTGACAAATTCAACAAACGGATGTACTATGATTGATTTCATGTAGAATTATACTGCTTTCATATCACTTGAAAATCTTCCCTGAAGTTTTGTTTTTTGCCAGATTGAAAATGTTTAAACCCGTATATGACTATTATTTATCAAAAAATAAGAAATGAGTGCATTTATGGCAGGTTACTTGTATTTATTCTTTACAATTTTTCAGAAAGCAGCATTAAAAACGTTGATATATCAATATTTTGTTGTTTTGATCATCACTACATAAACAAAGTAAGACAGAAATATTACTTATTATCCAAAAGAATGATTTATTCATAACTGGAGATTTGTGTATTGTTAATTTGATATTTACAAACATTAAACAATTTGTCCATAAAACACATCACAGTATGAAATGTTTTACATCCTTTCAAGAAAACAATGCTAAAGAATTAAGTGTTATGAATCACAAGTTACATTCGTCGAAACTAAGCCACAAAAGCGAATCATCTGGGTCAATAATGCAATAATCGAGTGACCATACCTGATAGTTTCAGACATCAAGTTTGAGTGAGATAATACATTAAAATAGTGATGGATTTAGCTATTATATGTATGTCCGTTTTGGTCATAAAGCTCTTCAGCTGTTTTAGATATTATACATCTTTGGCTTTCAAATATTCGGCTTTGAGTGTCCCTGATGAATGGTAAATTCAGAAAAGCGCTTCGGACGATAAAATTCATACTTTATGGGTATCATTGTTTGAAGTATACAAATAATCCGTTTTACCCGTTTTCTGTAGAATTATTGGTTTTCTTTCTCGTTAACATCTGATTTTGTGTTTTGTATTAAAATATTAAAATTTTTCCACATTTACGTAACTCCTTGATTTAGGTTGCTGAATAAAAACTAGGATGATTCTAGTTTCTTACCTCTATTTAGATATATCAATACAATTCATGATCATATTGTTTGATCAATAGATATAAGAAGATGTGGTATGAGTGCCAATGAGACAACTCTCTATCCAAGTCAAAATTTATAAAAGTAAACCATTATAGGTCACAGTACGGTCTTCAACACGGAGCCTTGGCTCACACCGAACAGTAAGCTATAAAGGGCCCCAAAAAATTACTAGTGTAAAACCATTCAAACGGGAAAACCAACGGTCTAATCTATATAAAAAACGAGAAACGAGAAACACTTATGAACCACATCAACAAACGACAACTACTGAACATCAGATTCCTGACTAAGGACAGGTGCAAACAAATGCAGCGGGTTTAAACGTTTTAATGGTACCAAACGTTCACCCTTTTTCTGAAACAATAGTGTAACATCACAACATAGAACGACACACTATAAAATATCAACTGAAATAGCTTAACTCAATCAAAGGACACCATTGAACATACACTGAACAAATAAATTTGACTATATCAATAACAGATGAGTGTAGAGATACTTATTAAAACAAAAAAATATCGATCTGTGCGCAAACGTTTACACAATAGAAAATGATGGTTACAATAGCCTTTCTTAATGCTGTTTTTAATGGGAACATGTTATTCAGTGGTTGTTGTTTGTTGCTGTATATCATATTTGTTTTTCGTTCATCATTTTGTACATAAATCAGGCCGCTAGTTTTCTCGTTTGGATTGTTTTACATTTGTCATTTCGGGGTCTTTTATAGCTGACTTTGCGGTATGGGATTTGCTGATTGTTTAAGGCCGTACGGTGACCTATAGTTGTTAATTTCTGTGTCATTTTGGTCTCTTTTGGAGAGATGTCTCATTGCCAATCATACTAAATCTCCTTACTTTTTATATATATTTCGTTCTGTGATATGTATTATAACATCCTTCTTTTTCTCATAGATATTGTATGATACAAAAGCTTTGTATTATTCAATTTCACTTTCAGAAAAAAATTAAAACAATACGTAGAATAATTTCATGTGTCCAAAGCTCTTTTTCTGGATTGATTTACCTTCATCGGCAACACTCTAAGCTGAATAGTTGAAAGCGTAGGATGTATAAGAACCGAAACAGTTGAAGAGCTATATGACAAAAAAATACCTAAACAAATAGCCAAATCTATCTAATGTCAAATGTGCCTGAAGGAGTTGAAATATTGATGATGTTCTTTCCATTAACAATCCAAACTTTTCTGATTGAGTTTCATTAAAATATTCAACCCAACTTGCAATTAAATAAACAACAGACAGGGTTTCCCCCGCCTCATATTTAGACTTATACCTCGAATTTGACCTAAGTGGTTATCTCAGTACTAGAATCTATGACAAACGAGACGATTAGAATTTTGAAATTATAAATTTCCCCTACCCTTAGCAGCAATATACCAATTTCACCTGCATATGGGATATTCATTACCAAACTCATTCGTTATTCAAGAGCTTGCAGTGGCTACTCAGGGTTAAGTCAAAGAACGTCTCGTCCTTTTTCTAAAAAAGTCCATCGGAAAATACCAATAACTTTTTGATAAATATTTCGTACCAATTTCACAAAGGATACATGATGGTCTTGAAGTATAGATTTTAAGTGCTGACGTTGTTTATCATCTTAATCACGTGTTATAGTGTTCTTTTTATTTGTCTATGTATCTTTGTAACCTTCACTGTTTACTCCATTTTTGATTGGCGTGTCTAGGTATTTAAACATCCCACCATTGTGTTATTGTGCTATGGTTATTTTTGTATTCTTGTCTTTCATTTTTGCTTATGTACTTTGTCTATAAATTGTCTATATGCCATTTTTGTTTTTTTTTTTTTGTTAAATAGTTGTGTTAATAGAGATTAAGATTATAACACAATGTTGACTACTGTACTCCGCTTTTTGACACTTTTACCTATTATGTCAGTTTATTTTGCTCACACATTGTTGTCAATTTAATGGAATTCTATATGATTGTCATACAAGCTAGATATAAAACCAGATTTAATTCTCTACATAAGGAAATGTCTGTACCAAGTCAGGAATATGACAGTTGTTTTCTATCCGTTTGATATGTTTGAGCTTTTGATTTTGCCATTTAATAAGGGGATTTTCTTTGGTGTTCGGTAATTGTGTTACTTTACTTTTTAGATAAACATGTTATGCAAAATTCTGACAAAAAAACCATTGCGTATGCTTTCTGTTGTAATTACAACAATGCATGTTTGAAACTGACAACAAATTTTTAATACATTTCCCTCCTGAATAAGGTATGTCGTCAATTTAGCAGTATAAACACTGCAGATGTTAGAGAATGATATGGCACTAGGTAACTGTAATCAAATAAACAAATGAATGATAACCATTCGCTGAGCAAAAAAAATCTGTCAGTAAAAAGTGGTCAAATAATTATTTAAAGCAGACATTGGCTTACCTTTGCCCTTTCCATAACCATAACTATTCAAACCACCATAACCACCACCATATCCACCACCGTAACCACCGATTCCACCTCTGTTACCACCTAATCCACCGACGAAACCACCGAATCCACCTCCGTAGCCACCATATCCACCATAACCGCCATATCCTACAGCTACAGGTACTTGTAATACAATTGCTTGTCCATATCCTCCTCCGTATCCACTACCGATTCCACCATATCCTCCAATTCCACCACCTAATCCACCAAATCCACCGAATTTACCTCCGTATCCACCATATCCTCTTCCGTATCCACCTCCTCCGTATCCTCCTCCAAATCTGCCTCCGTATCCACCTCCTCCGTACCCTACTCTTCCATAACCTACTTTCGCTGAGGCGCTGACTGCGCTACAGATGACCAGGAGTAAACAAACTAAAATCTGCATTCTGCTATAGTCGAGAACTCTATAAATTATGGATTATTTAATTAGAGATTGTTTTCGAATTCCCAAAACAATATTCTTAAGGTAAGTTTTGACGTTTTGTTTGTTCAAATATTTTTCATGTATGTGCCAATTAGTAGCTCTTTACAATAAAATTGATCGTAAATACTATCAATTAGTCAGATCTTTATCGTAACTTTTTATTTTTTTAAAACCGACAGAGGTTTGAGTACTTGAGTCCATTAATTTACTGCATTTCTACGTGAAACATACAATCTGTTGTCTCATATTGTAAATTAAAATGTTAACAGAACATTTCACTTTTATAGTTTTTATTAGAGAGTTGGAAATCGGTCAACTTGACAATATTCACTTTTTTTGTTTTACTATTGATAATTAACTTTTCATTGCCACTTTTATAGCATTTGTCATTTGAAATGCATTACATATGCTTTTATTTACAGATGATATAACGGGATCATCTGCATATGAAAATTAAAATAATTCTAAAAATCATTGACAGTTCATTTGCCAGGACGCAAAAAAGTTTAACCCAGCAATATGCATGTATTTGAAAAAGTATTGAGTGTGATTTAAAAATACTTTAATGGTTCAACATACCATTACTTAGTTACTAAGCATAAGATCTTTAATTCATGACAGATTGATAGGTTATTTAATTATTAATGATTAACTTGCTCTTTGGTATTGATAAAAGATGTGAAATATTTTCTTCAACGCGACAGATTTTTTCAATGAAATTGCAACACTAGAATCGGACCAAACGTCTTAAACGATAAACGGAAAATGTCTATTCTTTCGAAATTATAACAACAGTTAAATACTTTACATAAATGGAAATGGAACAATTAGTAGTCTACACTTTAAAATGACAATAAAAAGATTAAAGAAACTTACTTGGTTCTGTGCGATGGTCTAGTTGTGTGCTGAACGTATGGTTCTGAATGCCTTATATATTGCTCGTTTCATAATAAACTATGATGTATTATACATGCAAAAACAAATCAATCAAAATTAATTATGCATTTTATGCTGAAAACTACTTATAACGAACACTTGATCAAAATATGAGTTTTTTTTCTATATAGAAAATGATCATTTTTCATTACTCATAAATGTTTTAAAGTCATAGACTGACAAATTGTGTACGTTTTGAAAAACGTTTGTAAGCAATATGGTTGAAAAAATACAACATGTAACTTTTAAATTTCCAAAAAAAAACTTTTAAAATATCTACATAAATACTAATTATTTTAAAATGTAATACGTCCATAGTTTTTATCTTTATAATCATTAACTAAGGATGCATAAAACTTTAAAAACTGAAAGTCAACGTGGTTAAAATACTAGAAGAGCTATAAGGCCAAAGGTAACCATTTAAGGAGAAGATCTTGCAAGGAGAAGTTAGAACCTTACACGTTTAGTAGCATTCTCCTACTTGATTATATTTTGATAAAAACAAAGTGCAGTAAATGTTTCAAACATAATTAAAAGGCATTGTTGGATAGACAGGTTTATTTTTGTCATTTTACTCAATTTTTTCCTCAGAAATAGTTGTTTCAATGAGGTTAACCTTTCCTTTGTCACTCGCAAGATATATAATTTGATACATTACTGATCAATTTGTTGTTCAGTGAGTAAAATCAGTAATATAATTTAGACAGACAAAATTTTTCAATACCAAGTATATTATAAAAATCCTTGGTTATAACTACATTGTTATAATAGGTTTTAAAGTGAGAAATTGATAGTGCTTGAAGTTAGCTGTTGACGTTGAAAATATGTTTTGTAAAGTTTCTAATCAACACTACGACTGTTGTGTTTGTACTGGCGGTTGAATAAAAGAATAGTACGAATCAAGGTAAAGAAGTTAAGTACATATCTTTAACAACAAAAGATCCATTCTTCAATGCAAGACATATATTGATAATTTTCTCATAATGTTTAATTATTCATGATATGGTAATAATTTTCTATACATATAGGAGCCTTTGACTCACATACGTATTCAAATACTCGAATTTAGGCTAAACCAATCTAACATTGTACCAATTATTCCCCTTAACCCCTAGTCCAAAATTAACAAAATTATACAAAAAACAAACAGGAATCAATAAAAATACTGGACACCGGACTCTTTAAAAAACTAAAAGATATATAAAAAAAGAGAAACAAACAACGAACAACACACAAATAGCCTGACTTTTCATGATATTTTTTGTGAGGGCAAACACATAAAATATACAATAGTTATCAAAGGTACCAGGATTATAATTTAATACGCCAGACGCGCGTTTCGTCTACATAAGACTCATCAGTGACGCTCAGATCAAAATAGTTATAAAGCCAAACAGTACAAAGTTGAAGAGCATTGAGGACCCAAAATTCCAAAAAGTTGTGCCAAATACGGCTAAGGTAATGTATTCCTTGGATAAGAAAATCCTTAGTTTTTCGAAATATTTAAAGTTTTGTAACAGGAAATTTATAAAAATAACCTTATAATTGATATTCATGTCAACACCGAAGTGCTGACTACTGGGCTGGTGATAATAATTACAAACTGATGCATTCATAAAGACCCATCGAAACAACATCTGATACAAAAATTTAATAACACTTTTAGATATTTGGATGATATATTGGCTCTCAAAAATGACGATTTCAGTATGTACACTAAGGAACTGACTTTAAATAAAGCTAATACTAACAATGAACACTGTCCTTTCATGGATTTGATATATATACCTTTAACGGGAAGCTTAATACCAAAGTTTATGATAAAAGAGATGATTTTTCATTTCCTATTGTTAACTATCCATTTGTAGATGGTGACGTTCCCCTGTCACCATCTTATGGTGTTTATATATATATATATATATATATCTTAACTTGCTCGATTCGCTCGTGTATGTAACAACGTATTTGATTTTAACGAAAGAAACCTTTGTATTACTGAAAAATTATTACACCAGGGTTTTCGATATCACAAACTAGTCAAAACATTTACTACATTTTATCATCGGTACAAGGACATCATTCGTATATATAAATCAACATGCAGACATCTTATACGTTCAGGTATTCCAAATACAATCTTTTATGGTAATATTCTATACAAAGCACAAAAATGTCGACATTCACCTCAAAAGCTAACCAAACCTTTAAACAGACTTATTCAGAAGAAATATACTTACGATACTGTTGTCAGGTCATTAAAGATGGCATATTTTGGTATTAATATTGATTCACTCATAGGGTCTTTGCATCAGAAATAAACACATTTATTCTAAAGCCAGTTGTTGGCATGGTACGGGGTATGTTCTTCTCATATATTTTATGATGGTATGATCCTAAACCCCTAACGGTAGGAATTGTGCTTGATTTTTTATATGATGAAGACATAATCTTTCAATCAGTTTAATTGAGGTTTGGAGCTGGCATGTCAGTAGCTGCTAGTAGTCCTTTGTTAATTTATGTATCATTGTTATTTTGCTTAGTTTCTTTTGTTACCTATTCTGACATCGGACTCGGACTTCTTTTAAACTGAGTTTTACTGTGCGTATTGCTGTGTGTTTGTTTATTCTACATTGGCTAGAGGTATACGGGGAGGGTTGAGATCTTACAAAACATGTTTAACCCCGCTGCATTTTTGCGCCTGTCCCAAGTAAGGAGCCTCTTGCCTTTGATAGTCTTGTATGTTTTTTTAGTTCATTTATATGTTTTGGAGTATAGTGTGACGTCCATTTTCATTGAACTAGTACAGATTTTGTTTAGGGGCCAGCTGAAGCCCGCCTCCGAGTCCGTGATTTTCTTGCTGTGTTGAAGACCCATTGGTAGCCTTCGGCTGTTTTCTGCTCTTTGGTCGGGCTGTTGTGTTTTTGATACATTCCCCATTTCCATTCTCAATCTTATAACGCTCTTATGCAGGAATACTAGTTAAACAAACGTGTGAGTACAATTTATTTAGACGTTAATATTATGGTAGCACAACACAAAGATTGTTAACACCAATCAGACATCTTTAAACTGATATAATTTTTTAATGCAGCTTCTTAAATTCTTAATGTAAATGAGGAACCAATATAGGGAAAAGGAAATTTATTTTCTAAATGGTTTATGATTTTATTATTGCATTATTATTACATGAATAGTTATTATATAATTAGTTGCTAGATTGTGATGTTTAAGTTTGAAGTACACTAGCTACTTTGTTATTCATAGCATCCCAAAATATTTGATAGATAAATGTGTAACACAGTTTAACCTAAACAAAATGGTGTCTCAGATTTTTTCTATTGTATTTCATTCTCTCATAAACCTTAACTCTAAAGTAATCATCAAATGTTGTTGGGTATAAGATTTCCGGGCATAGAACAACATGTGCCAAAATCGGACGAATAGGAGCACCCATCTAGGAGTTAATTTAATCTAAAACCACATTTTCATGACATAAATATATGCGTCATTATTCAATGAATAAGGATTTAACTTATTGAACTTCATTACTTCAACATTATTCACACATGTACCATAGGGATATCTCAGGATTATCCCCTTTAATCATCAATCAATTAGGCTTTGACCATCATTTAATCTCAGCAATACTAATTATATAAAGACACCCTATGCATCAAAAATCAAATATGGGTGAAGAAGTTATATCACATTCGATAATGTTCTAGATCAATTGTTTCTGATATGGCCAAAACTGCGACCACCTTAAAAATACTAAATATTAATGCTTTCAGCATTTAATTACACATAGCATTTGTGTTTTTTTTTTTATTTGAATCATATTCATTTAGTACATAAAACATGTATTATGATTTTAAAATTTCCCCAAAAGAGGGACGAAAGATACCAGAGGGACAGTCAAACTCATAGATCGAAAACGAACTGACAACGCCATGGCCAAAAATAAAAAAACAAACAGACAAAAAATAGTACATTTGACACAACATCGAAAACTAAAGACTAAGCAACACGAACCCCACTAAAAAGTAAGTTTCGATTGTGTACATAAAATAATCAGTTGGTCAGTTTTAAGGATTCGTAGAAGAATTTTAGAATGATAATTGTTTACAAAGAAAATACGGTATTTTACACAAACTTAACTATTGATATTTTTGAAGTGTGAAAAAAATAATTTGCGTTTTATTTATTCAAAAAAGATTCAAATTTAAGCATTCCACTCAAGAAAATCTGATATCAAAATCTGTATTAACACATCAGCAATATTAACTGCTGGACAATTATATTTGTTTATTACTTGTACATTCATATTTTGATTTCCTGCATACCAAAAATTGTTACTTGTTTTTTTTTCTCCGGGCGTTTCAAATGTTTAAATTTTTTTTCTTCTATTTTTAGTTCATTATCTTCTTTTTTCTCTAACATTCCTAATCAACGTTTGTTTTGGATAACTGCTATTTTGTTAGCAGGTCTATGGAAATGAAGCTATCAAATGATGCTATTGATTAACCACAAACCACTGCCCACATTTTCTTATCTGACATAAATCAGACACGTGCATTTGTTCACAGAACTAATTATCATCAAAACTCATTAACAGTGTAAGATGTTGAATCACATTTTTTTCTGCGGTTCTGGAATAGTAAAAAGTAACAAAAACAGTTGATAACGAAATTTTAATAAAATTTTGATGTTTTTGTACTTTGTTACCTAAAGACACAACTACCAAAAATTTGTTTAGGAATTAACACATACCTAAGCTTTATATGAACATCTTAGTCACTTCTATGAGACGGGGCAAGTTGTGTGATGTTGACACAATAAATCGACCTCAATTCCAAAAGAGGACAAACCATTTTGAAATTGTTTAGCAAAAGCACATTTTTTGAGGTAAAACTAATTTGTGCATAATCAGTTCTACAATTTTTTGACGATTCAAGGAATGAATACCTAGC